AAAAAAAAATGTTCTTTGTCTATTTCAGATAACAGTCTTTTATCAAAAAAGTCTTTTGCTAATATTTTCTTCCCATCATGGCTTATCTTCCCTTGGTCCATTTTTGATCATTCACTTTCAGGTGAAAATGTTTGGCATTATATCTAACCAATAAGTATTTTCAAATCCATCCATACATGAGAGAGAATATCTCACTCTTAGAATATAATTATCCTCTGAAGCTAACTGTGCTCAGCGTTCAAATATAGATGATGGTACAGACATACCCCCTCCCACCAAAAAACCCACAACAAACAGACAAATGAAATCTATGTCCGCTTGTAGTAACAAGTTTGGGACTCTCAGCCAGAATGGAGATTTTGCTAGAATTTTTTTTTTAATGCTCAAGAGAAATTGAAGAAATCAAACTATCATGGACCAGACAGGTCAACAATTGACTTACCTTAGTAGGACTGGAAATTTCAAGAGATGCTTGTAGCATTCTGCTCAGTATTCTAGCAATTGCCCTCTTATCACCCACCCTACCTACCCTTCACCGTATGTCCCTGCCTTTCTTACCACCAACATGGGGATCATTCCTTTGGGGTCTAGAATCCATTCATCAAATTGTTCCTGCAGAGCCTGATTCCGAGTTTTGGCCACCTTTTCCTTCACTTCGCTTATGCGTTCTCTCTGTTCTCTTTTCTGTTTAGCACTCTGCTTCATCTTGGCTACTCTGGAGGATGCAGTTATAGAAAACATGTTATTAAGACCGTGGGGTTTGATTCAGATTGTTCAAATGGCAGAATATAGGAATTTGGAGCCTCATTTAACTTTGTATTTGTCTTTTCTCCACAAAGTCTTCCTTGATTCAAGCCTGGAGTGATCCCTTATTCCCCCAGCGCTTACTGAATTTGGCATTAATCATAAGCAGCTTCCTACTAATTTGTCTTTCTATAGAGGTATTTTTATTTTATTTTACCCAACTAAATACCATACTTGAGAAGTACTGATGGGAATGTGAATTAGTAAAGCCATTATGGAAAACTTAAAAACTAAAAATAGCATTACCATCGGACCCAGTAATCCTACTTCTGGGTATGTACCCAAAAGATTTGAAATCAGTTTTTCAAAGAATGGGTTGCACGTCTATGTTCACTGCAGTGGTATTCACAATAGCCAAATTATAGAATCAACCTAATTGTCCATCAACAGACAAATGGATAAAGAAAATATGGTATATAAACACATCGGGATACTACCCGGCCTTAAGAAATGTGGAAATTCTGTCATTTGTGACAGAATGGATGGAATTGGAGAGCATCGTGCTAAGTGAAAACAGCCAGGCAGAGAAAGACAAATATCCAATGTTCTCACTTAACTGTGAGACATGAAAGCAATCAAACTTGTTTTATTTTGAGAAGCAGAGAGTAGAATGGTAGTTAGAGGCTGCAGAGTAGAAGAAATGGAGAGATAATGGCTAAAGGGTAAAAAATCTCAGTTAGACAGAAGAAATAAAGGTTTTTGTGGGCTCTATTGCACAGTGTGGTAAATGCAGTTAATAATAACGTATTCTACATTTTTAAATTGCTAAGAGTAAATCTCAAATGTTCTCACCACAAAATATAAGAATTTGAAGTGATGATATGCTAATCAGCTTGATTAATTTTTTCACATTATATTCACAAATCGTAACGTCACTTTGTATGCATACATGTATATAATAAATCGTCAATTTATAATTAAGAAAAAAAGTATTTAGCAATAATAGCCCTAGAAGGTGCCATACGTGTTGTGTGTAATGTCACAGTTGGATGCACTAAAAGGTTAAGGTGGTAAGCTTTTCACTTCCCTAGACACAGAAATCATCTGAAGGGATGGATTCCAGGTTTAGAGTAGAAGCCTGAGAGAGACATTCTGTTTTTTTTTTTTTTTTTT